GACATTCCCACCAGAGAGAAACTTGCCAGATTTGTTGCAAGCATCCTGGCAACTGTAGTTTGTCCTAAATGGCCTCAATCAGGTCCGGCTCCAATAACCTTCATTGTGTGAAGTCATGTTACAGGGAACCAGAGGGCCTTCTCGGTAGTGGCACCTGCCCTGTGGAATGCCCTCCCATTAGATGTCAAGGAGATAAAAAAAACTATATGACTTTTAGAAGACACCTGAAGGCACCCCTATATGGGGAAGTTTTTAATGTTTGCAGTCTCACTGTGTTTTTATCTTTTGTTGGAAGCCGCCCAGAGTGGCTGGGGCAACCATGTCAGATGAGTGGATTATTATTATTATTATTATTATTATTATTATTATTATTATTCTGGGAATCACACTGTTACATTAAGGACCCATGCTACTTCTGGGCCTCAAATCTGCCTGGTTTGTTGGCCTCATTGTTGCTTTAATTTTAAATGATATTTTGCTGTTTACAAGCATGTTGTCTGTTGCTCTGGGTCAGGGAAAAAAAGTAGGTTCCTGACTGACTGACTGACTGAATGAATGAATAAAAACAGTTAAAAAGATTAAAAACAGAAACAGCTGGAGGAAGGCCTTTTCCTGGCGCTCCCTTCCCACAAATTCTCTCTGTGCTCTCGTCTCATCATCACATGCCCTTAGCAGGAAGACAAATGATGCCTTGACTTCTATTGACTGTGAAGAGACCACCCGGGTCAGAGGCAAGGAGATCTGGCGAGTCCAGCCATCCGAGAGAAGCCAGCCACACCTCATTAGTAAGCATGCAGGTAGTGGAGGTTTTAGATTTGTTTCAGGCCCCATTGCAAAAGGTGCCCTGACAGCTTGAGTTATGTTGACAGGTTCCCCTCACAGGAAAGGAGTGTGTCACGCAGGAGAGATGAAACATGTTTCACTGTCATCCTCCACACAGAATAAATGGATGGCCTAGAATCTTTCCATCGGCAACATTCCCATCTGGGGGCAGAAAGGGGGGAGAGAGAGAGAAAGGAGACTTGAGTTTGATGTTATAAATCACCATAATTTGTTACAATTTCCAAAGACAAATATGACAGGGTAGAATTACTTTGCGATGCTGAGACAGTCATTTGCAGAAGCCATAAAGTGTCAGTATAAATCTAAGGACAAGATATATTTAATCTGAGGAAACGGAGCACAACATCCCCTTGGTATCTTCTGTTTACAAAGAACTTAGCTGCACTGATCGTCGCGTTATTGCGAGTCGCTTCTTCTGTTTTTATTCTTCCAAATGAAGCCGCCTCTCGTGGGAGCACTATAACAACTTCTAGAGGATTCTCACCATCATTACTGTTAGGAAGGGAGAAAGCTCAACCCAAACATTTATGATGTCAACAGAGGAGGGGAGCAGATCGCGAAGCTCAAAGGCATACAGTTCTGTACATGTTGAGATTGATTTTGGTCGTGGAGTGGGGCCCGGAAGGTGGGTAGATATGCTCTTACGAAATGGCATGTATTTAATCCTATATTTGTTTTATTTCTGAAGTTCCGTGCTGCCTTTCTACCCTACAATGGCCCCCCAAGGAAGCCCATAACAATACAATATAATTTGCAATTAGCCAGCAAGTAAAATTCTGGTCTTCTTGTGATTCCAGCTTCAAAACTTAGCAAAAATAACTTTGCGGGAAACAGAAACCCAGCTTGAAATTGAAAATTATAGGTCTTGGCTGCTTTAAGTACCCTGATAAAGTTCAGGGTTCAGTGAAAACTTCTTATCCTTTGGAGGAAGTTATTGCTTAATTGTGTTTATGGCTTGCCAAGCCCAACGAGTCTCATGAGCCATTGATTGATTGAGATTGAGATTTGCTAACAAACACCTTTTTTTAACAGGCATAAAACAAAACTCAGAGGTTTAACAAACGTCCAGGCGGACTACCAAACATAAAAGGGATAACTTGCCATACAGGCAACAAGTTATGCAGGCCCAATACAGATTTTTCTTGGCACTAATGTTGAATGACTATTCAGGGTCATATAGATTTACATAATCACATGCTGAATCATTATACCCGCATACTGCACACCCTCCAAGTGTCCCAGAATTACAAAAGCCACCCCAGCTTCTGATTTGATCCCAGAATGTCCCTATTTCCCTCGCCAGTGCCACTGCTGCCGAGCTTGGGGAGGCCGATGAGCCAGCACTTGTCCTGAGCCATGTCCTGAACGGCAACAATGGCGGCTGCGAGAGAGCATCCCATGGTTTCTCCATGGCGGCTGCTGCTGCTGCTCCTTCCTTGGGCGACTCATAGTGGCTGCTGGAGAGCAGGTGAGGAGGAGCAGAAGCTGCCACTGCCAAGGTCTAGACTTGCATGACACACTGACTCTGAGAGGCAGGCAGAAAGCAGGGCCGCCCTGGGCAGGGAGAAAGGGGCAGCAGAGCAGAGTGCAAGGAGTCTTGATTTTTTATTATTATTTTAAAAATGCTTTGTGTGCCCATGTCTAATGTTTCCCCTTAAAAAAAAATATTGGGGTGTGTTTTTCTTTTTTGTAAATCTTCCAAAGAACAGAACAGAACAGAACAGAACAAAACAAGGATTAAGGGGTTTTCTCAGGACGGTGGAGGGTGTGTGTCAGTGCCGGATTTATGTATAAGCTAAACAAGCTATAGCTTAGGGCCCCACTCTCTTGGGGGGGCCCCAAAAAAAATTAAAGGGAAAAAAAACCCCTGGGTGTACATTTCCAAAATATAAGATAAAAAACAAATAAAATAGAACCTCCATACAGCAATAGTGTTTTGTGTTGTGTAGGCTCCTATGACGTAAGTAATGGGCCCTGCCTGCTAACCTGCTCCCTAAAATATCACTGGTTTGCTCATTTTTATATATAGGGTGCCTACATTCTGCATGTGAAAATGGCTTTAGATACCTATTAGGTCAATAAATTACCATATAGCATATATTCAACACAAAAAGCAGCAACAATTTGTCAACAACAGCTGGACATACAAAGGGCCCCTTTAGTAGCTTAGGGCCTCATCAAACCTAAATCCGGTCCTGGTTTTTGTGCTGTGTCCCATTGGTGTAGTTATGGTGGCACTCACCCTTCTTCTGACAGGAAATGCTCTGCGGGGGGGGGGAGCAAAATGGGGAGTTGAGGAGGGTCAGTTGGGGGAGTAAGAACTGTCCCTATTTTCGTCTGATGAATGCTGGAGGGTCTGGTACCGTACAACCGTTGCTCTTATGCAGCCAAGTCTACTTCTTTCACCCTTCTTACATCTGGGAGCTCAGGAGTCAGGGAAGAGGGAGTTGTTGGGGTGGGAACCATTTGAGCATTTTCCTGTTAAAAGGTCAACTCAAGGGGGCTTGAGGGGGTTGGGAGAGAGAGACCGCTGCCCTTCTGCAGAGAAAGAAATCCCCTCGGTTGTGTGCACAAGAGAACACAGAACTCCACAGAACTATTCAAGGACTCTCTCCCCATTCCTGCGATTTCATGTAACGAAATCAGCCGTTCAGATGAAGTGAGAGCTTTGTTAACCTAACTGTTACATTATTGTTAATCAGTATTGTATCCCCACCCCCCTCAGAGAGAGCATCTTGCCCATTACCCAATAAAATTAAAGACAGAGAGGAAGATATGGATGTAAAGATCTAATTTGGCCCCTATGCCAATCTCATATCCAAGTCTTACGTTTTTCTGCTTCTCCTCTAAATCCTCATTTTAGTTTTTCTACCCCTCTAAATCCTCACTTCAGCATGTCAGGAAGTAGATTTGAGTATTGATAAGACAGGGATGAGACGTGCAGTGGAGTTTTATACTATACTGAATAAATCAAACCCCAGAGGTGCTGTTACTTTTTTTTCCTTTTTCTTTTTAATCCTTCAACATGCAAAAGTCAGACAGAAGTGATGAAACAGCCTCCCAGTCTCTTAGCTTGGAGATTGCGATGTGTTTATTCTGCTGCTTGGGAAGAAACCAGGAGGCACATTTTAAACGTGACGCTGCAACAGTACCTTCAGCAGATGCTAACAAGAGCAGTGCAGGATTCCCCTCGACTCTCCATGCTCCTCTCTGTAGGGGGCACCTTGTTTCATTCTTAGGAAAGTTGCTATTCACAGAGCAGAACATCAATGTCAAAGCAGCTGCCAGAAGTTAGCTCCGCAGTTGTCTTCTTTCCTTTCTGTTTCTTTTCACAACAAGAAGCCCTCTGTTTACCCAATTCTTCACAGCCCATAAAGGGAATGTGTGCTTTTCTCTCTTAAGAGAGATCTCAAACCTGGTTGAGATCCTAACAAGGAATGGGGATTAGTGAAAAGCATCGGATCATCATTGACTTGGATGAGGCCTTGTCATCCATTTGGCCCAGCCCCCTGCTTGATGTGGGCAATTCACAGCTACCCATAGCAGGGGGTCACCCATCCCTTGCTTGAAGACCTCCAGTGATGGAGAGCTTTCCAACCCCACCAAAGTCATTAGTCCCATTGTGGAGCTGCTTTTACCATTCTGCTAAGATTTAGCTGAAATCTGGCCACATAAGGTTCTAAACAAGGACCCTTGTCTGTAGAGCAGACTTCCCATTTCAGACCTTCTCCTCCAACGTGTGAAGCCCGTCATTGGAGATCCAGCAGTGGTGGTTTGTCCAGCAAGTATGGCTCCACCCTCCTGCTCCTGTGATTCTAACAATGGCAGACTTGAACACCTGAATATGTCTGAAATGAGCTAGCATCACCTCCCCCAATATTAAAATAACACATTATTGTAAATCACAGGGACATTGAAACAGCAGCACAGGACAGCCTTTCTAAAACTTGAGTCCCCAGATATTGTTGGACTACAGCTCCCTTGCTGGCTATGGGTGATGGGTGTTGTAGTCCAACAACATCTGGGAACCTAAAGTTTGGAAAGGCTGGCATTGTAGGTTGCCTAACGCTAAATCAGTCCAAGAGCCCATCCAGCTCAGTATTGTCCACAATGACTGGGAGCAACTTTCCAGACAGCTAGTCTTTTTCAAAACTATCTGGGGGGATTCCAGGGATTGAACCTGGAACCTTTTGCATGCAATGCAGGTGCTTTACCACTGAGCTATGGCTTTTCCTCCATCAGAGTTGGCCAACAACTGTAGTTGTTACAAGTGCTAAGAGTTGTTAGGAGGTCCCCTGTTACCCTCACCGAGCTTCAGTACTTAGGACTTCCTTTTGAAAAGGGGTTGATGGTTAAACCACTTTGATCTCCTAACATCTCTCATAGAATCATAGAACTGTAGAGTTGGAAGGGTCATTAGGTCCAAAGCCCTGCAATGCAGGAATCTCATTAAAGCATCCATGACAGATGGCCATCCAACCTCTGCTTAAAAACCTCCAAGGAAGGAGTCCACAACCTACAGAAGGAGTCCATTCCACTGTCTATCAGCTCTTACTGTCAGAAAGTTTTTCTTGATGTTTAGTTGGAGTCCCCTTTCTTCTAACTTGAAGCCATTGGCTTGAGTCCTACTCTCCAGAGTAGGGGAAAACAAGCTTGCTCCATCTTCTACGTGATAGCCCTTGAGATATTTCAAGGTGGCTATTATATCTCCACTTAGTCTCCTCCTTTCCAGGCTAAACATATCCAGCTCCTTCAACCGTCCCTCATAAGGCTTGGCTTCTAGACCCTTGATCATCTTAGTTGCCCTCCTCTGCACACCTTCCAGCTTGTCAACATCCTTCCTAAATTGTGGTGCCCAGAATTGGTGTGGTGTCCAGGTGTGGTCTGACCAAGGCAGAATATGGTGGTACTATTACTTCCCTTGATCTGGACACTATACTTCAGTTGAAGGAAGCTATGACTGGTAACATAGCATTGAAATGTAGGATATCCAGGACTAACAGCTGTATGTGTGCAACCCCAACCTTCTTTCCAAGTCATCTTGCCTAACTTAGTTTCTCCACATACGCTCACCTGCTAATTGTCCCTCCCCCACCCAGCCACTCAGTGCTGACCCCTTGCCTTCCTTGCTTTGGCTTTCATCCCTCCAGGTTCGACACACCTTTTTCCTCACAGGGACTGTGAGAAAGGCCATTTTTTCAGCTCCATGGGAGGCAGCAGTAATCGCCAAGCAGGAGCCTCCCTGAGGTGAGACACAGTTCTTAATGGAAGGCATTGAGGACAGCGGTGGCTTTATGTGGCACAAAATGCAACTCTTTCGAAGTGTCAGCTGGCCGGCCCACCGCTGTGCAAACCATTAACACTGCCATTCCCACTTCTCTACCCCTCAGGACTCAAACAACCTTTAGTTCGGTGTTTTCATTTTGGAAGGCGTCTTCAGGACTTCTAAACTATATATCTATCTATATATATATATAATATGGGAGGGGGGAGAGAGAGAGAGCTCGCACACTTCCCTTTCTATCACCTTTTGGAAGCTGTTACTAAACAGTATAAAGCTTCTACCACTGTGGAAATGGTTTGGGGGCAATGTCAACAAGAAGGAGAGGGAGCTGCGAGAGGAACCTGAGAAAAGTACAGGAAATGCTGCAAGCTTTTTTCAGTCAGTCAGATTGAGAAATCTTTCTGTTGGTTGCAGGTTGCAGGTTGATGTTTATTTGAAAGGGAGGGAGGGAGGAAAGAGGAAAAAAGCAGGGATCCAGCTCACTGGAGAAATATTTTAGTTGCCCAACATGATAATCTTTTTGTGGTTTCAAATTCTTGCCATGCATTGCACATGGGTTTTTGTTGTCAGTTAGTTAGTTAGTTAGTTAGTTAGTTAGATTATCTCTACATTGCCCTGCATCCAGACAGATCCAGGACGGTGTGCAGGAACAATAAAACATGATAAAAGCAAAATGTAATCCATCAAAAGACAATGGAAACTAAAACAAGAACAGCTGAAACCATAAAGTCGTATTATAGACAAATGTAACCCCTTTAACATATCTGGTTAAACATAGAATTGTAGAGTTGGAAGGGACCCTGAGGCTCACCAAGTCCAACCCAATGCAAGAATATGCAGTTGTCCCATATGGGGATTGAACCTACAATCTTGGGGTTATCAGCACCACGCTCTAACCAACTGAGCTACCCAGGCTGCATAACCAGACACTGCACAGTGTGCAAAATCAACACCAGTCAAGTCTCTCCAGCGAAAACGTTCCAGACCTCTTCCAACATTCAAGCACATTGTGAAACTGTGTCGGCATGTCTCCTTTTCTTAACTACATTGATTATTGTACTTTTGTGGGTTGGGGGTAGCCATTTCCTTTAATGGTTGTTTGTTTTTTTATAAAAATAGTTCTACTTTTAAATGAGAGCAGGTGTCTGAATTCATGGGGCACAGTGAAGTGAATCTAGATAGTAAGACCTTCCATCCCTTGCAGCTGAAGAAGTGGGATGGTTGTATTAGCTTCATTCTCTAATTTGCATCACTTTGGGAGCTCAGAGGACCCATCTACACTACAAGCATGTGCTGGTTTTATAACCAGCATACAGCGTACAGCATATTGGTAAAACCTATTTGGTGTTTCGCAACTTTCTGACCAGTTGCAGGACCTTAGCCAGACCTAGCAGAGTACACGCAGAATCCACGGAAGCAACTGGCAACTTGGCTGCAGACAGGATACACAAAGCAGGAACCAGGAACTTGTGGTTAGGTGTTTATTATATACAGTGGACTATTTACAGGAACAGAACACGGATCTTATGCTAGCCCTCTCTGACATGACTCACAACTCCTACACTGACACACTGAACCACTGGACTCTTGAACTACCAGTTAGTAGGCCATTAATTATCACTCCCTTGAGAGAGCTTGACCAATCAGGGAGCGGTTTCCATGTCTCTGTTATCACCAGGCAGACTTACTTCTTCAGATTGACTTCTGGCTGTCTGCCAAACCTTAATTGACTCTGTGTGAGTAGCTTCACGTACACAGTTTCCCAACACAGCACACAGCAGACAAACACGCATACTTACACACAGAGAATTGTAGCTTGGTGAGGAGGTCAGTTGTCATGGACTTGTTGGGCACAGAGGAATGGTGGGGTATAGATGGCTGTGGGGAGGCAAGGGATTTTAGTCTCAGCAACTGATCCATGGGGCAGGACTTACCGGGGAAGAGCTGCTGTGCCTGACACTCCACCAAGGCTTTGCTGATCTTTTTCTTGCTAGTAAAGAGTTACCTCCAACTTGCACAGTGTGATTTGCTGCCAGCTCACTCCTGACAGCAGTATAAGAGGGAACAGGCGTGCGCCCCTCCCCAGTTGATGCATACCTCATTTCCCCCACACCCAGCTCATACCCATTGGAACTGGTGGGATTGAGCCCAATGATAATTGGAGCCAAAACCAGTAACAGGCAGAGCCAACTGATTCTAGTTTTGGCCTCATTCTCCACCGTGCTGAGTTCTTGAATCTTGAAGCATTGATTTGGAAGGGACTGCAAGGATCATCCAGGCCACCCCTGTGCAATGCAGGAATCTCTCACCCAATGTGGGGCTCAAAGCCACGGACCTGGGATTAAGAGTCTCATGCTCTACTAGCTGAGCTATCCTACAATGACAATACTGTGACAAAGGAGGAGGAAGATGGCTGGCCGTTCCATCACTGGACTGTAAGTAAATAGGAAGGCAGGAAGGTACGGACTGGCTGAGGGCAGACTGAGGTCAGTGGGGCTGTCCCCCACTTGCTCTAAAGGACCAGCCTCCCCGACTATAACAGAATGGCTTTTTGTCCTAGATCCAAGAGGATGAAGTTTCCTTTGGGAGATTGCTCAACACTCTGCTAGATCTCCCCATTAGCAAACATTCATGATGTTCAGCACACTTTATCATGGATCATTACTTCTTCACTTTCAATGTGTGTGCCAAGATCCCCTTTTCTCGGCAACGAGATATGCATTCTGAAAATAATTCCCTTACTCCTCAAACCTCTGATGTGCCTTAATAAACAATAAATCTCAATTGCTTAGTATCTTAAGCAACAGAGTTGTTTGCATTATAACACTTTAGAGGTGTAATTTGCAGTGTATGAAATGGTGGCTGGTGCCGGGAGTGTGGGGGCGGGGAAGAGTCCATATTACATTCAATATAGTGCTATCCTTGAGAAGTGAATGCTGTAAAGGCATTGATATATAATGCGGGTGATAAAGATTGGGAGTTGATGTATTTGTGACGGACGGCAGAGGTGTATATCAAAACCAGAGGGCCGAGCTTTGCCGTAAATAACAATGGCATGCATTTGTGAGGTGGGCCTGGGGGACAGGTGGAGTAATATACCACCAGGGGTGTTTAAAAAAAGAAAAAAGAAGTGTTCTTGAAAGGAATCAAATTGAATGCCCCTTTATATCTGCTGAGCAGCTACACCAGGAGCAGCTGGACTGCAGTGCTCTCTCCACATAGTGAGAAAATGAGTTGTATTAGCAAACCAATAAAAGCTCAACTGGCAAATGAGCCTGTCTCTTCAAGGCCAGACTAGCCTTCTGTTGCAGCTGCTCTGATGCTGCTTTCTGAAGCTTCTTATGCAGGAAGCTCACTTGGGTAAGCACTACTGAAAGGAACAGGGGTCTTACATGGCTACCTTTCTTTTAAATGGGATCCATGCAGAATAACTCCCTGGAGGAGTCTGTTTGGAGTGGCTGTGTGTGGGGGGGTGCTTATTATTTATTTACTGATTACAGTGGTACCTCGGGTTAAGAACTTAATTCATTCTGGAGGTCAGTTCTTAACCTGAAACCATTCTTAACCTGAGGTACCACTTTAGCTAATGGGGTCTCCCTCTGTTGCCGCACCGCCACCGCACGATTTCTGTTCTCATCCTGAAGCAAAGTTCTTAACCCGAGGTACTATTTCTGGGTTAGCGGAGTCTGTAACCTGAAGCGTCTGTAACCAAAGGTACCACTGTACATTCATATCCCAGCTTTCTTCCAACGAGCTCAATATGGCATTTACGGCTCCCCATTTTTATTCTCAAAACTTAAGTAGGTTACACTGAGAGCTTTATGGCTGAGTGGGAACTTGAAACCTGGTCTCCCAGGTCCTAATCTAAGGCCACATTCACGCCATTCATGTAAAGCACTATGATAAGGCTGTGAACAGTAACGGCCTCCCCCAGAGAATTATGGGAACTGTAGTATGCTAAATGCCCTCCAACATTCCACTGATTAAATTCAGGACACACGTCCTTTGGTGCCAAGCTAGCTGACTTGCATGAGAGCATGGCACCAAAACAGGACCTTCTGGGATCCAATCAGAAGCCAGGATGGCTTCTGTAATTCCAGGATGTCCCGGGAAAACCCACGGCCTGGATTTAGAAGGCAATTGGGCTGGATCCGGCCCCCGGGCTTTAGTTTACCTACCCATGGATTAATTGTTAAGCCACTTTGGGAATTGTAGCTCTGTGAGACCAATGGGGGTCTCCTAAGAACTCTCAGCAATCACCGTTGGAATATATTTTACACTATTCTTTTTTAAAAAATAATAATGTATATTTACTCTCCTTGCCTTTGTGACTGTTTTTATGGTGTATTTTAGTTTGCGGTTTTGTTTACTGTACTTGCAATTGTGTGTTGTTGTTCTTTAAAAAAAAAATATTAAAGGCACTGGCTTCTGAATCATCCGAGTTCTCATGTGGCTGGAGAGATTACAGCCATGGCAATACAAACCATCAAAGGATATGGCTGAAATAATCACAGCCAGTCTTGTAGCTCTTTCATACAAATGGCTTTTCATGTGGACGTGAATGTATTGGAAGCTGCCCTCCAGGTGCTGCTTGTGTAAAGGAGAGGGGGGAAACCACAGACTTTGTGTCAGAAGTGGGATTTTTACCGGGGTCTTCTAACAACAAACCTATCTTTGTATCTCCTGAACTACACAGAATTTCTCGGGGGGGGGGGGGAGTGATGCCTCACTCAATCAGTCCAGACCATGAAGTTGCTAGTTTGAATTAGGCATTTTTGGTGTTGCATTTTGTGTGGATGGTGGTAATGGGGTAGGGGGTAGGGGGTAGCTAGGTGGCTTTCAAGGTCTCTATTCAACTCTATGTTGCTGTGTCTTCTGTAAAATATTAATATTTAGCTCAACCCTTCATGTCTACAAACTGCTTTTCAAATGCTAAACTTAGAAGACTCCTTTTCATTTACCCTAGGGGTGGTCATGTAACACAGCTGAGCGATACTAATTAGTAGGCAAATTAGATACCTTTATCTATATCTTTTCCTTATAGAAATGGCAGATATAATTTTGCAATTATCCCTCTAGGCCTCCAAAATGTCATTTTCATTAATTGTAGGCAGAGGAGGGAGCAGGCTGAACATGAGTACAGATAGCTGCATGGGTGTATCGCGAAAGGCGATATCTATCAAGCAGCCTTTTACCCCTCCCGACAATCAAAACTTGTAGCTGACGTCGACCAGGGCCACAATATGAACACTTTATCTGCCTTGTGCTTCGGTGTTGATGAGGAAGGGATGCAACGTTCAGAGATTTCACCACCACCTGACAGCTTAACAATATCATATGCTTGGCGGTATACGGCTCCTTGCAGGAAATGTATTTTTGGAACGTTGGCGGTGTAAACAAAGGAGAGGCCTTTCAATGTTCCACATCTCCATTAAAGCCACCTGTCAAACTGTGAGAATTAGAAGCTGCTGTGGACTCCCCTAAACTAGAGGTGAGCGTGGCAGAGCAGGGGGGGCATGGCACTTCCCATTTTGTGTCAAGTGAGAAACAGGACACACCACCTCTGATCCATACCCTTAAACGCATAGCTTTCTCCCCCACTAAGACTCCTGGGAACGGTGGTTTGCTGGTTGTTGTTGTTTAGTCATTTAATCGTGACCGACTCTTCATGACCCCATGGACCAGAGCACGCCAGGCACTCCTGTCTTCCACTGCCTCCCGCAGTTTGGTCAAACTCATGCTGGTAGCTTCGAAAACACTGTCCAACCATCTCGTCCTCTTTCGTCCCCTTCTCCTAGTGCCCTCAATCTTTCCCAACATCTTTTCCAGGGAGTCTTCTCTTCTCATGAGGTGGCCAAAGTATTGGAGCCTCACCTTCAGGATCTGTCCTTCCAGTGAGCACTCAGGGCTGATTTCCTTCAGAATGGATAGGTTTGGTCTTCTTGCAGTCCATGGGACTCGCAAGAGTCTCCTCCAGCACCATAATTCAAAAGCATCAATTCTTCAGCGATCAGCCTTCTTTTATGGTCCAGCTCTCACTTCCATACATCACTACTGGGAAAACCATAGTTTTAATTATATGGACCTTTGTTGAAAAGGTGATGTCTCTGCTTTTGGTTTGCTTAGGGTTCTGGGAATTGCAACTTTGTGAGGGCAGCCATGTGCTTTAACTGTGTGGTGCAAATGTCACCAATGTCTGCAGTGCTCAGGACTCTTCTCTCTCCAGACTGTGACATTTGTGAAAACCACCTAGTGCTGATTTGAAGAGGTTAGCATTTACAATCAGTCTGGGGTCAAATGCCACCCTCCAGGCCTTTCTAACAGGCCATAGGGACTCTGACCTGGCTTCCACACTAGGTCACACTGGTCAGCACCACACTCTCCCTGGCTGCTGCTGCATGTTCTTAAACTGTGATGATGCCTCTTACTGGCCTGGATGGAGAGATGTGTGCATTCAAAACTCTGACTGATGGCAACCTACTTCACAAAAATCTGAATCGCAACTGCTGCTTTGCCCAGTGTGGTGTAGTGGTTAAGAGCGGTAGACTCATAATCTGGTGAACCGGGTTCGCGTCTCCGCTCCTCCACATGCAGCTGCTGGGTGGCCTTGGGCCAGTCGCACTTCTCTGAAGTCTCTCAGCCCCACTCACCTCACAGAGTGTTTGTTGTGGGAGAGGAAGGGAAAGGAGAATGTTAGCCGCTTTGAGACTCCTTCAGGTAGTGATAAAGCGGGATATCAAATCCAAACTCTTCTTCTTTCACTTATTGATGAGGGGAAAGAGGGTCAGGGGCTATATCCTTTGCCTCTGAATCACTCCTGCATATTCTCCATTGAATAAAGCAGCTGTCTCTTCTTCTCTTGAAGCCTGCTGTGGTGCACGGTTGACACCCAGTCAACCAGTCAAGGCACCCAGTTAAGAACATTGCATGCACATTTTGCTTCATGATGTCCGTTTAAAGAGGGTTTAAAGACTTGCTTTTTTGTAAATGAAATCTCATGGCCTGAGCCCACTGTTGGCATGGGCCATTGTTCCAATTGCATCTATTGTAGCATTGTTCCAATTGCACCATTATAAGCCAGCCACAGGCTTTGAAACATGGGCATTGGATTTTATGCAGGAATATGTCATACGGGCATGATAACACGATACTGTTAACATCAATAGGATTCCCCACTTGAGAACAGAGACACTGCCTGAAATTCATGAGCATTCAAAGCAAGCAATCCTTCTACATTTCTTGAGATTTGTTTTCTGACCCTTAACAGTTATTCCACATCTATGGTTTCAGTGCTTTCTGTATAGGTAGAAAATGATTCATTGCAGGAATCCACCCTTTTTATTGTGCTGCCTTTAAAAAAAATATGATACCCCATGATTTTGA